CAAATGCATGAGTAGTGTTGCATTATTCAGTCAGTATACTCCCAGATACTTTTGTATATACTCACCCATACTGGACTTAGAGGTGCGGGGCAGGGAGGTGGGTGAGGACAGCAGTGGAAGAGCGAGTGAGTCAGTCATACTGAGAATTGAATGAGAATGCCTCCTCTCTCCTTTCTCCTTCCCTTCATCGTCAACCTGGGAGGCACCACTGAAACTATGCAGACAGAAGAAATTCAATCATGTTATTGCTAAAATTTAACAGCAAACAAAGAAACCCGCTCATTGTAGATACGTTGTTATGCATTAACAGTCATCTACAGTGTTGTGCAAACGTCTGTGGGCATTTTGGGCGTTCTCTTTAGAGCTGTTGGAAACGCATCACAGAAATCCAATGCCAAAATAAAGAATAGTTATAAAAACATATAAATAGTTTCTTTTTCAGTCAGTAATGCCTCTGCATAACACACCCAGGAAACATGCATTTAGAAAAATGAACCTGTTAAAGATTTAGAACAATAACTGTGAACCACAGCTACAGCACTTGTTAATTAATCAATTGTTCAATTGACAGAAATTAATTTGGACCTAATCTGATAATTAATCCAATGGTTTTAGTAATTTTTATGAGAAAATGCCAAATATTTACTGTTTCCTTGAACCATTTACCTTGAACTCCACGGCATTTATAATTGATTGTTACATTAATTAAAGGATTGTCAGACTGACTGATAATGAAATTAATCATTAGCTGTAAAACAAGTGACAGGGATTATGTTTATTAGCCCTGTAGGATTAACAGAATCTGTCATTCAGGTTGAATTTTATTAATGGGACCTCTGTATGTGCACAGTTAAAGGACTGTGCCCAAACTGTGTCAAACGATCTCTGACAATCTGGTGCTTAAGAGTGTATGTGTGTGTCCGTTTACCTTAAACCCTTCTTTGGCAGCGTGTTTCTGTCTCTCTGAGAACTGTGGAAGTTAAACAATGCCATTATTTTACCACTGGTAGAGGGAGTTATTAAACTTTCAAGAACAGACTGCAAGCACAAAGAAGCACAGTAAGAATGGCAGACAGCTGGTGTCAGCCAATAATTATGACTTCAGTCAGCTGGCCCAGTATAACACTGATAATAGGCCTGTAGTAATAATAGCCCAGTAACCCTTCAGTATGCGTGGAATTGTCTTTTTGGCTGTTCAGAACTTTATTTAAATACCAGAGGGCGGTCCTCACAAAGAAGTCACTGAATTTAAGGTTTATGGTTAGGTGTTAGGTTAAGTGTTAAGTTAAGTGTTAGGGTCAGAGTCCCCACAAGGAATGAAAACACAGCGTGTGTGTGGATGGGTGTGCATTAATGTGGCTGTCTTTACTTCCTTTAATTCATAATGTAAATATGACTTTCAGTCATTTTGTTAAACCAAATAACAGTGTACAAAACATTCTACAATTATTTTACTATAATCTTAGCGATAATGAGCATCTCATACAGCATGTTTTGTCTCTGGTTTTCTGATTAAATCACACATTAAATGTGTAATTACAGTCACATCCAGAAAGATTTTGTCTACTTCTAAGCTAATATTATTCTGTTATGTGTGTTTTTCACCTGTGCTTGCATTTTTGGTGGCTTACTATTATCTTGTGAAAGGTATAAATAAATGTTGCTTTCTGCTCTTCAGAAACCGCTGTCAAAAAAAAAAAAAAACAGCACCATGCCTTTTTCGGTATGAGCAGCATTTTTCCAACTGAATCACCTTTCCACCTGCCCATTCAGTGAAAGGACGAGAATGTGTGACTGCAGTACAAAACTAAGTGAATAAGATTTCAAAGGCTGCTTGTCATGAAGGATGAATGATGTTGGTGTAGTTCCTCAAATGACCAGTAGGTGGGGCTACATAACAGTAATTATAAAGTATGGGTGGTAAAAGGTCTACTTTGCATGTGGGTTTACAATATATACATGGCTGAAGATAATCTTTCAGCTGAATTGAACTCACCTGTCTGTGAGAACCAGTGAGACTTTGCTTCCAGAGCTCCAGCTGGTAGGGGAATCACTGTTTTCCTGTCTCACTCTGTCTCGGGACTCTAAAGTGGTGTAGCCTCTCACCAGATTCTCCTTCTCCCTATCCTTCTCTCTCTCCTCTCCTCTCTCTGGGGCCAGACTCATCTGGAGTGGTAGTGACTCCATGCTCCGATGCAGCCCAGACAGACGAGGGTAGAGCAAGGGAGAGGCACTCCCACTGCTCCCTTGGCCCCCAAGGGAAGAGACCTGCCTGGGCCCCAACTCAGAGCTTGAGAAGCAGGCTGAAGCATTCACATTAAGCAAAGGGGCAGGAGTGGGGGTCAGGCAGGGGCTAGTGGAGCCTCCGGCTGAGCTAGCCAGATCCTGGAGCTTAGAGTAGGGAGGAATCTTTGGGGGCAGGGAGTCCTGTACCCCCACCTCCAGGCTGTTGGAGTTCAGCTTGTCAAGCTGGGCCATAGATGGAGGCTTTACCAGGCTACGTACCCCAGATAATCTAGAGACAATACAAGACAATGTTGAAGCAAATGCATACTCATACTTTGGATTTGAAGGTGTGTGTGATCATATTTTATACTGCAGTATATGAAACCTGGTACCTGTGTGTGCTGGGTGAGGATAGATCCATACCCTTGCCACTGCTGGGAGGTCTCAGCCCCTGTAGCTTCCCTCCGTTCTCAGAGGGGGTGCTCTTAAGAGACCCACCCCCACACTCAGAGTCAGATACTACAGCTTTAGCTTTGGCTCTCTCTTTCTCCTTCTCTCTGTCTGTCTGATTGACAGGACTGGGACTTGGGATCCCACGACCCCCTGCCTTACTCAACCCTGCAGCAGAACCATGCCCTGTGGTGAGCTCTTTGAGCCTCAAGCCTTGGGGCGCTGCGCTGGAGGGTCTGATCAGTCCTGAGCCTGTGTCCATGGTCGTGCTTACTGGGCGAGCTGAGCTAGGCCGGGTTAAAGTCAGGGTGCTTGTCTTGGCAGGACGAGGAAGAGAGCGGTACTGAAGAGATGTCCTGGCATTTGGAGACAAAAAACCACTCTGGTCACTACTTGAAACATCTAGACTTGTCTTACGTCCTCCACCTCCACCAGCTCCTG